ACCTCCCAGTTTTAATCAAAAAAACTTTCAAGAATGTAAAAATGAAAGGAAAATGAATTATGTTTCCAACCAGAAGCCAGAATTAATTCAAGAAGTGTATTGGAGAAATAGGTGGTTCTTATTCCATTTCCAGGCTAGCCACGAGCCTGGGTCTCATTTCAGAGCTGGTAATTTCTAATGCTTTTGGAAAAAACAGACAGCCTGCTGTTCCCAGTAATTTTTATAATATTTTCCAGCACTGGAAATTGTTGACTAGTATGGCCTTTGAACAAAAACATTCACTATGCTAAATTTAGGCTACAGTCCTGTAGAAAGTGTCTTTTAAAATCAACCACTAGCTAGATCAGAGTGTCTTCTTTTCAAGACATTCAGAATGTGTTCTCTTCTGGAAGGAAAGATACAGGCAATTTGTCCAGCTGGTACCTTTTATCTACACCATAGATTGAGTGCTTTAGAGGAAACAATTCCCTTGGTCTTGGCATCTGGCATTAAACATGTAGATCAGCACTCAGACAAATTTCACAGGGTTTTTTTTTGCCACAGATACCTGGGCTCTCCTTCTTAATGACAGAATAAATTTACATAATCTATATTACCTTCTACATGCAAAGTGTGGAATTCAGACTAAGGATGCAATTTAGCCCTCCAGTGTAATTTGAAATTACCTGAAGTGTTGCTTCAGAAGATCATGGGTAGTGTGTCAGATCTGTCAGTTCTGTCCCCATACTTGATATTCTCAAGCATCTCAAATGACTTTAGATGCCTAAATCTGAGATACTGAGCTGAATTTATTTTGTATCTTTAAAAGTCAATTGTATGGCCTCAAATCCTATTGATGATGTTGACTGTATTGTTCATAAATAAGAAAGGATATTAAATACGGCACATGAAAAATGCCATTCTTGTAAGTCTATTAATCTTGATCTAAATGCTCTGCTGAGTCTGTTTTTAAAAAAAGCCACAGTGTCTACACTGAATGAAGAGAGGAGACCTACTGGACCTTGAACCCATATCACCAAAGGCTGAAAAATAAATGTGGAAGTGAAACTGTTATGCTGAGGCAGCCAAGGGCTTTTAAGGAAATTAAATAATATTGGTCTATCTGGTGATCACTAATAGTGGCCAAAGGTCTTATCTTGATGTTAGCTTGCTTATTTGTAAGCAGCCCAGGGAATAATTTTAAGGAATGCTTTGAAAGTTAAAGGGATAGCCCTATGGATGTGACATGAGAAGCAGCATGGATAGGAATATGAATGTAGTCTTTCTGAAGCTGAGCAAGTGACCATATTTTGACATATTGGAAAGGAAAATATTTCTGTTCTTGTAAGGCTGAGGTTGGAGTCAGTTCCATTAAACAGAGCTACAAAAAGAATCCTTTAACAAATCATACAGTTTTCAAAAATGCATACATTCCAATCAGGCCTCTTCCATGGGATTTCTGGTATAAAGCTAGTAATTATATTGGAATTTCAGAAACAACTTGTAGAGCTCCCAAAACACAGGGAGGAGTCCCTCCCAGGGCTGGAATATTAAGTTGGCTGGAAGAGTTGTTGGCTTTACAAAACACCCAGGACCATATTGTGATCATATTGAGGCTTTCCTACATTTTTTAAAAGATTTACATTAGAACTCTGCATGGATACAGGCCACTTATCAGATAACTCACAGAAAATAACTTGTTTAGTGTGACAGGCTTTCTCTGAGGCTGCCAGATATATTCCATGAGCACAAATAGTCTGACTTTTAAAAATGCAGTTTTTAAAACCCCATTAGCGGCTGGTAACTATGCAAACTATCATTGCATCATGAAAAATACAGCCATATACATCAATTATTTCTGCACAGATCTATGTTTAAAACAAAAAGAATTAAGTTTCATTTACAGTGTTAAGACATTCATTTCATACATCAGGCTCTATAGAAAGAATACAAAATGAAACTTCTTCTGACAAGTCAGTTTAATAGAATAAACCCTATCTAGTGTATACTTTATTCCAAGTCAGCTGTTAACAACCCTACCCTGCAGCCTCAGGTATGAATTTTAATAGCATAATGAGAATTCATGGGAAAAGAGTCCTGGACACTGAAATTGTTTATGTGCTTTAAGGATATTAATGTTTCAGGTATGGATTCAACGCCTCCACAGTTCTCAATTATGAAATATTCGCTGCAGGTTACTGTAACTGGAACAGATTGCATCTTTTAATGATTCTTCTACAGGCAGCCAAGGAGGCTTAGGTTTAACTGAAGATTTAAAGGAAAAACATAGCATGCTGGTAATTTCATATAGGAAGTTAGCATGTTTCCTTAAAAAGTTCCACCTTTCATGAGAACCCAACAACAACACTAGAATTTTCTTTAAACAGATCCCTTTTTGCTTCCCATTTAGACATAAGAGAAGTGTTTTCAACACCAAGGAGACTCTTCTGGGAGCAGATAAGTCTGTTGGCTGTTCAAAAACTCCTTCTCATTTCTCTTTCTAAATGGACCCTTTTGAGTACACAAAATCTGGTTAATTTACATTGGAAAGAAATTTATAAACGTGTTTTCCTTTCAGTTACCATCATTTAAAAGACCCAGAAACTGAAATATTTCATGTTTTTCTTTAAAACTTGCTGGAAAATTTAATTAACGGCATTAATTCCGGAGTGGCTTATTGAACTCAGATGGTTTTGAAGCATTTCCAGATCAAGGACCATTTTGCTAACTCCAAGAAAGGGTTAAGTGGATTTTTCCCTAAGCTCTCCTTCCCTGTAAAAAAACAGATAAGTCACAGCTTCCATGGTTTCCCTTAGAAGAGTGATTCATTTGGTAGACTCTAATTCCTGATTCAATGACGTCCCAGAGCTTTAGCTGGGCTAAACTTTTAGAATTGCAGTGAGGAGTCCAGTGACCCTGAACCTCAGTTTTCCAGAACAGTCTGAATTTAATAAGTTTGTCATGATCTTTTATGGTTTTGTTCTCTTCAGGGACGGTCTTTCTTGAAGAGACATGCACCAGAATTAGTTTTAATGAAACTTCAAGATCTGTTTCCCTGTACATCAGATTTTGTAAATAAGGAGGAAAAAAACCCAAAACCAACCAAAAAGACCCACTAAAAACCCCCCAAAAAACCCAGAAATTAACACTGCAAATTTATGTCCATGTGATACTTTGAAAGTCTATGATTTTGGCCTGATTAAATCTGTTCTTGAAGTAAAGTATAACTTCTCAGAAACTGGCCTGTCTGCCACTTATGAATGAAGATTTCATCTTCAAAACTCATGTTGATTTGGAATGGGAAAATTATCCTAGACGCTTTACAAATTTGTTTCTGGGTGAAATCAAGGTTATTTTTTCCATAGACATGAAAGAAGTACTGCATGCTCCTAAGTGTCTGAGTTTAGATCCAATGGCTCAGTGACTTGAGTACACAACCTAATTAGGATTTAGCCAAGTTATTGTGGAACCATATTTGAGCTCATTTGTCTACATATTTGATCTCATCCTCTTTCAGATGTGAGACAATGCAAATCAGTTTAAAAATCTCACAAATAATTTATAACCTCACAACTGGTGGTGGGCTAAAAATATCCATTATTTCCAGAAAACAGTGACAGACAGTAATGAGTTAAACAATGACAATTCAGTCTTGTATTCCACATATTGATACTATGATTTTGAATATCAGATAAACAACACACATGTATTTCTATTCCTTCCTTCCCTTCCTCCCTTCCTCCCTTCCTCCCTTCCTCCCTTCCTCCCTTCCTCCCTTCCTCCCTTCCTTCCTTCCTTCCTTCCTTCCTTCCTTCCTTCCTTCCTTCCTTCCTT